GAGTGGATGCACTCGTGCTATTGTAAACGGTTACTAGCTGTCATATAAAGTTTCTAACCGTTGGTTATGGTAATCGCGTTAATTAAGTAGTTTACATATGTTTAAATAGCTCAGTCCAATTGTCAATAAACATAGACGGATTCCACGTTTTAGTTTAGCCACCGCTAGTTTTCTCACAGCTTACTGTTTCACTATCCATCATCGCACATGTAAAGGTAGGTGGTGGTACGTGCGTAATACATATTCTAAGCATCTCATTTAATAAATATTCTCTACCTGGTCAATCGATTTTCCATCCTTACCCGGCACTTTATGTCTAATCTGAGAATGACTAAATCGATATTCTCAGTAAAATACAAGCAATGGTCCAACTTTTTAGCTATATATCGTCAATTATATTTTTGAATGTCAGTGTGCAAGTATGTAATATTTTTGGTTATAGAATGTTTTAATATATTTAGATAGTAGTTAACATGGAAATTTAGAATGTACTTATCATCCTATAGAAGACTTTTTATGAATCTCAGTGTTGATATTCCAACATTGAAATTTGAAAACGCTTTAAACTCTAATTCAATATTTACTAAACTCTAATAATTATCGTCAAAAATTTGTTCAGCACATATGAAAGTATATGTATAGAATAGACTTAACACAAGGACAACAAAGCCTTTTTACATTATTTAAATAAATAATACAGATTACAAGTTACATGCCTTTTATTATTGATTCTCGTCTTCTAGTAAGGGACTTTATTACAAAATTTATTTGTTATATATGAATATTTTATATGAATTCCATATACTACTATCTAATTGTATTTTCATTTTATTAGATCGATATAATAATTATTAATCATGTAATTAAGGTCATTTCAAAATGGTATTATTTTTCAAAACAATAACGAATATTCTATCTTAACTGGTATTTAATATGAATACAATTATAACCAATAAGATAATTGTCAATTTGGATAGATAGAAACTGCCAATCATTTGAAATGTTTGAATCTAGATTTTGTATAGATTAAAATTAGATCAATAAATTGGTACGACGACAGTTTGGTAAAAGGAAAATTCACACTTCTTGCAAATTTTGAACTTATGTTACAGTTAGAAAGAATAATATTCTCCTGTTATTCCAGACTACAATAATATTGTTGTTAGGAGTTCTAGAAATAAGCAGTGTTATTATGTTTAAAGGTATCAACACCAGTCCGAAAGGGCGAGGGTTCGAATCCCAACCCCATCACAACCTTGCCCTCAAATGCCCTGATACGGCCGAGAGTGGGGAGAGTCCGCTCTCCCTTTCGAAATGCTCTCACATGGCCACGCCTGTATAGCCTCTGCCAGGGAAGTCCTACTCACTGCCTCCTCGTGGCGGGGCTGTTGTTTACGAAATTGAGAGGACATAAAGTGAATATCCGGCGCTTTAACCGGGTTGGTGGACATGGAGAATCCACCTAGAGGAGTTGGAAAACCCTGATTTCAAATCAATGCTGCAAATGGGCTCCAGTACCCTGAGGGAACAAATGGTGTATGAACCAATTATTATTCACCGTCTACCATGGGATTGCATCTTCTTACAATGCTCCACTGCCTTGTGGATTAGACCTTCAGGTCGAACGCCTCGGGTGTGGCCTCCTAAGAAAACCATCTGCTTCAGTTTGGGCACCCGGTCAGTATCACAGTCCTCACACATATCAAATGAAATCTGTGTGGCGCATTTATATTTGATGGCTCATTGTACCAATATCTATGTGTTAAAATAAAATAAATATCAATGTAGCATTTTCTTGTCAAACTATAAAATTTTTGAATTCAAGTTTTAATCATTTAGTGCAACCTGATATCTGATAGAATTAATGTGAAGGACATGTTTGATAATTGTGATCCATTTCAATGGCTATTGTTAAAAATGTGAAAGCACTATTTAGTCGACTGAGTGATGATATTCAATTTACGGTTGTGGAAACTGTTGAATTTCATGAATCGATCAATGTTAGACTACTATTGAAAATCTGGAAGTGTTAGATGACCATGTGGTAATAGCATAAGACTGTTTAGCAGTGCACATCCATGATCTTGCGCGTGGAATTCGAACCTAGGAATTTTTGTCTCACGTGCGATTGCTTCACCTCAAGACCACTGAACCGACTTCCAACGATGTTAGTCTAACTTCAACTAATCCACTGTGCTGAGGTGTACCATACTCAGATTAAACAGCCGTCCAGTGTTTCCGATTTTTCAATGGTAGTCAATCACTAATTGGTTCATGATTTCAATGAATGATAATATCGGATAGTAAAATTATCATACGGTACATACATTCAATTCTTTTTCGGATAACAATTACAAGAACTAGGCTAGTCTGATTACTAATGGATTTTCTAATGTTCATACTTGCAAGGAGTTTAAAAAGGCTTATTGTGATAATTTATATTGTTATTACTTATAATACAACATATGAGAAAAAAAGTCAATAGTTTTTTTTAGTCTACTATTTATAATCTCCTTTTAACTAACAGGATATTTATCTGTCTGCCTTTCTAATTCTATTATATATATCCCCTTCTCTGTTATCAATTACTTGGCTATTTATTCTAACCTAATTGACCTATATGTCTATGTTGTGACTATTTTCTTTTTTCTATTTTTTTTTCTCCTAAATTCTATCGATTTTAAGGATAGTGAAATCCATTCATATTCATATTATTATCACCGCTATTATTATTATTATTATTATTATTATTATTACTATGAATGATTATACTACTAATAGTAATCATGTTAAACGAACTGATCAGTTCATGCTTATTATGAATAATAAAATGATATTACATTTAACTAGGGAACTATAATATTTCACTTATTAATAAGTTGGTTTTAAGGACTTTCAATTTTATTTTATATACATAATCTTATAATAATATTATTATTAATATTAATTAGATTCAGTCATTGTCTAACCTTATTATATAAATTTACTAAATAATCCTTAATACATATATATATATATAATAAACTATTGAATATTTAAGGTCATGTAGAAAATTTTCAGCTTGTTATTTATCTAGATTCATTCAATGTTTGTTTCGTTTTGTTTTTGCTAAATTTTAGATAATAAATAATTGATGAGTACAGATAGAAACTAATGTTGTTTTTTTAGAATTTATGTTACTAATTTGATTGTATCATTGATTAAAGTAATAATTTAACAAAATGGGTTTTGTGGAGAGTTTTAGAAATTTCACAGGTTGAAATCATAAGTCAGTTAAAGCTAGACCACAATTGAAAACCTGGAAGCACTGGACGGCCGTTTTGTCCTGGTATGGGACTCCTCAGCAGTGCGCATCCACGATCCCGCACCACGCGGGGCCCGAACCCAGGACCTACTGGCTTCGCGCGCGAGCACTTAACCGTTAGACCACTGAGCCGGCATCCAACGGTGTTAATGTCTAACTTCAACCAATTCACGAAGTTGCGCCACCGTACACCATTGTCTTCGTGGATGCGCATTGCTGAGGAGTCCCATACCAGGACAAAACGGCCGTCCAGTGCTTCCAGGTTTTCAATTGTGGTCTAGCTTTAACTGACTTATGATTTCAACCTGTGGAATTTCTAAAACTCTCCACAAAACCCATTCTGTTAAATATATACTTAAATCAATGATACAATCAACTTAGTAACATAAAATAACAATAATCACCTATTCTAATATTATATTACATTGATATTAAGTTATATGAATAGTTGTTTCGGTAGTTTTGTTTATTTTTTTTCAATAATCCTTACATTTTAATAGTTGAATTTATGAATTAGATTATCATTAAGAACCTGATAACATTGAATGATTATTACGTTTTAGTATAAGACTACTTAGTAATCCATATATCTATGATCTTGCACACGGAACTCGAACCCATGGAAATGTATATTTTATAAACAATTGGAAATACGAACGAATAAGCATACAATTCATCTGTGTATATACAGTAAAAAAATATCATAGAAAAACACAAAACAAATCAATGTCATTTAAAGTTGTTCCAAGTGGGAAATACACATTAACGTGAAAATGAGGAATTCAAATTGTTAAAATGTACATTGTGTAAGATTTTGCTGCGAGACTATAATTTTTATAGACGATCTTTGAACGAATCGTATGTGAGCTTGAGAAATATTAGCCAATCAGAAAACAATCAGTATAGAGTAAAAATGTATTATACAAAATCAGAGATATAAAGCGTTTACACTTCTTCTACATGATTTAAAAACTTGTCAATGTTAGAAAGAGGTTCTAAAATCGTATTACATTCAGTAGAGGAAATTTTCTGTATGACTCCATAATAATTGGCCTCTTGAATCATGATAAGGTCGCACAAACTCTTTGAGCCTCCGACCACATAGCTTGGATATTGTTTGTGTGCACTCAGGTTGTTGGGTCCACAAGATGTCGCTTGTGGATAACGACACGATGCACATAACCAAGTCTATGTAGTCATCTGTATGCTCTCCAATCATCCGTATATATTGTAGTACCTAGCTGTGGCCAGTGTTACTGTCACTTTTATTATCCAAGTGGCAACAATTATCAATCTGGATCGAGCAAAAAATCCTATTCTAGCAGACTTCTTCCTGCAATACATATTACATTGAAAGACAACATCACGGTAGTCTACACAAGGTTCACAAATTATTTAATTATCACGATCACAAATAAAAGAACTTCTTAATAGTCCCATTTGTTTTAGCCGCTTAATTATCTAAAATCCGCTGTGAATTGATCGTATTTGAGCATCAGGTACTGAAATTGGCTTCATGAACTTGATATCCCTCAAACGCTTTTGATTGGCTCGTCCACAAATTATAGTCTCACGGACGTTGCCATAAATTTTTATTGCAACAAAAAAATATACTTGAATGATATTTAAAATTTGTTCTAACTATTCATTACTACTTTTTTTTTCTTTTAATACATAATATTATATTGTTATGTAGGGTTACAATAAAGCTGTTGATTGGTGGGCACTTGGTGTATTAGTTTATGAAATGGCAGCTGGTTATCCACCATTTTTTGCTGATCAACCAATACAAATTTATGAACGTATTGTATCAGGAAAAGTAGGTGATATTGTTACTTGACATTTTTAACAAAAAAAATAAATAATTTATAATTAATGTATTTTACATTTTATTTACCTATCTAACTGTGTTATGAATTTTCTTCTTAGTGTTATTAGTATTTCATTGTTTAAATATGGTTTGATATCACTGATAAGATCTAGACCAACTACAGAAATGAATTCGATTAGAACAAAAAAAATAGTTGAAATTCTTGTTTGGCGAAACTTTATAAATGGATGTTATTTCAGCGTAATCAAAGTTCTCTGGTATTGAATAAAGAGGGGATTGTATCATTTGGCTGTATCTCCCTCTCATTCAATGTTTAAGAATAAAACTTTATTCGAAACTATGAAAATACTTTCAACTTGACGTTTTGTTTCTAAATTGTTATTATTATTAAAGTTTTCATCAGATTATATTCAACTTATCATCAAGTATATCTTCAATTTCATATTCATCTAGCTCTTGAGGATAGAAAATAGATTAAAATTCTCTTTCTACGCAGCTGCATCCAATCATGCATGTTCTTATGCTTCTTGTACCAGATTACCTTTCTGTATATCGATTGTTGTAGAGATCCATCTGGTCTTCGTTTTAGTAGAACATCAACATTCAACTTTGATTCTATTATGGACTTGTATCATTTTATTAGGGTCATTGTCTTCATCATAGATGATAAAATTATCATCCATTCACTTTCATTGACTTTCATATCCGATACGTGAATCAGTTTAAATATCTTTGATCATTTTGTAACACTGATATTTTAATAAATAGACTACAACATGTAAAAACATTACATATAAATAAGATTATGCAGCTTCATATAATTACTGAAATGTTTTGTACGAGGTAAAGATGGTGGCGAATAACATTCATATATTTTTACCCTGTTAAGTTTCTTCAGAACTGACCTATGTAATTAGTTCTGTCTAACTTTATTACTATGTGATCCAGACCGATTCTGTAGTCACTGTCTTATTAATACCCAACTTTTTTGTTACAGTCTGATTGGTTAAGTTTCGTCGATAATACCTTATTATTTTTATTGGATTGTTCTAGTCGTAGGTTCAAAAAAGGTTGTTTCAATCGGCTCATCTATTTGAAAAAATCAATTTTCAAAGTAATTAACTTTAATTAATAATGAATTAATACAATTCATCGTATTTAACCTTTATGTTAATGGGCAAACTGTTCAATAATTGATATATTAATTATTAACGATGTATAAGACTTAAAACAAGTTAATGATGTACTCTTGTTCGAACATGTTCAACAGTTCGTTCTGTGTATAACGAGAATTAAAGTTATTTAATGTATAATGACAACAATATTCGAAATTTAAAATGTGTATACTAGTATATTACTAGAATTAAGAGTTTAGGGAATCAATTGAATACGAATATAACAATTGTTTTGCTTTTTACTAAACTAATCATATATAAACCCATGCAGTGATTTAGTTAATAGCAGGATAATGTGTTGTAATGTCATTTAATATGAATTGGAGATATAAACATTGTTTACTAGTCCAAAGAGTTCAATTGATCTGATCCATCATGTTTCATAGTTCTACTTTATCTAATCAAATACAACATTTGAATGTGTTTACATAAATGGTTATTTCTATTATAATTTTTATAATCATTATCAAATAATATTGAAGGATAAGTTGTCATATGATTAAAGTATCTTAATCTTGAAAACTTTAACTTGGTATAATTTTATAAACTACTCACAAAGTGGTTTTAGAGATTTACAGACTTATTCATGAGTATTGTTAAACCGTAAATGAAATACTGATAATAACAGTAATTACTAGATTTAAATGAAGACATTGCAAGAAATGATATTGGGTAATAAATACCTAGAATGAAGAAAATAGTAACTTTTATTCTCATTAATCATGTAGACACTGGACTAAGTTTTTCCATTTATATGTGTAGTTGTTTTTAGATTATCCCGTTAAGAATAAATTCGAATATGACTTAAATGTCAATTAAGTCATCAGACGTTTAAATGAGATAAAAAAAGGAGACATTTAAAACAGCTCATTTGTCAACTATTGCACATATGAAATATGTATAATGCCAAAGTTGTGTGGTATAGGATCTCAATGATGAATACATTCTACATGCTAATGAATATGATGAAATTGGATAGTTCACTCTTCATAAACACAAGTTTATCATGATCATAGTTACTAGTTTACCTGAAAAAAATAATCAATTGCAAGTGTAAATTACCACTTTTTAAGAGAGTTATAAACCACATGTCCATTACCTATAGCATTCAAGCCAAGAACAACTAAATTAGTCATGCGAAATTGAAGGTCCTGTGTTTGAGAACTGCGCGTGTGATCGTGGGTACGCACTACTGAGGAGTCCCATACCAGAAAAAAACAGCCGTCCAGTGCATCCAGGTTTTCATTGCTGGTCTAACATAAAAAGAATGTAGACCTTTCAGGAAAAAAAAAGTTTTTTCAGACAATTGCATTTTTTAAAACTGTACAATCGTAGTTACATGTAATTTTACCATATATAATCTGTAATAAAATATAATATTCACCTGTAAGGTGTTATTAATTTTATCACAGTTTTAACATACAATTCTCATTTCGTTACAATACCGAATGGATCAAGTAGTTTAATCATGTAATATGTGCGTACAATTACACCCACATATTACGTTAATGTTACTAGTTTCAATTTAATGGTAAAATACGATGTTAATGACAGATAAATTATGTCAAACAGGGAATCGATATCATTGTAATTGTCTCAGACGTAGAATAACTCATATTTACTGTCTGTTACAGATTATCTGTTTAACCTTAAATACATCAATCTATCCAAAAAACTTACTGATTACAAATAGAACATCACGTTATATGAACGTCATTAAAGCAGAAATTCATATATATTTGGTCTGTTCTATGCTATATGTAACACGCACTTAGTATAAAAGTTATTTCATGGCTATTTTTTTCAAGCAACCGGACTATTTTTAATACGAGTGAAAAAAACCCGGAGTATTAAATCAGTTTGTTGAGGAGGCCATAAAAAGGACCATTTTGTGTTCTCATTGAATGCTCTGTGATATCTACACTGAAAAGCAATATTAAGTGTGGTATGCACTTACAGAACCCATTTTTACATGTTATAACCGTATCACTCCATACATAGGTTACCCTTAGCAGTCCTTGTAGATCTGACAAAATAACTGAATGATCTGTATCTCATAGATCTGACCCATTCCTCTAAACTGTATTCGACGCCTGGCGGTTGGAAAAAGTTACGCGCAGCACAAGTGTCCAAATTTTCATCGTCAGATCCTTCACAAGGCTTAGGGATTTCATAAATCATTTGCGTATCTACGTTTGCTTCAGCCCTATGTCCCTTGTCATCACTAGATATAGTAGCAACCAGATCTACATTTCTGAAAGCATCATTTCTGTTGTTGATTCCACCTCTTCCAGAGTTTCCCGATCAAATGGGATTGGATTGATGTTCTCCGTGTTGTATCTGAAAATTTTACTTTTTCCCTTGTGTATGTTGAGGCTCATTGATGCGGAAATTGCTGCTACATTAGTAGTCTTCATTTGTATTTGTTGATGTCTATAGGACAGAAGAATCAGATCATCTGCGAAGTCCAAATCTTCTAAATAATTCCGACCTATCCATTCTATTAACTTGTTATTATTAATAGATACACATAACAATTGTATGATGCACTCTTTTTTTTGTACAATAAACAGTAATATCACATATTACTAGTGCATTATATAAGTAGTTGAATACCACCTCCTATAATATCGTAATCATTTGATAAGTGTATTAAAATAAGTTGTTTACAGTTCTCTATTGTTTCTATTATCCAGCTATACATTATTACTATATACTATTGATGTAAAGATAATTTTAACTTCAATTAAGACTTGACTTTTATTTTCTCTGAAATTACTCTACCTAGTAAACTAATGATACGTTTATATACATATATTTTTCTAAACTAAATAATTCCAAACGCTGTAATCACTTTCCTCATATTCTTGCTACTATTATAATTCTTACTAATTGCTTTATTGTAATAATAATACTAATATTTTATCCACCCAATCAGGTTCGTTTCCCGTCACACTTTAGTTCTGATTTAAAAGATTTACTAAGAAATCTTTTACAAGTTGATTTAACTAAACGTTTTGGAAATTTAAAAAATGGTGTTAATGATATTAAAACACATAAATGGTTCGCAACAACTGATTGGTTCTCTATTTTTAAACGTGATGTAAGTTTTATCTTCTTTTTTTTTAAAAATAGTTTTAATGTTAATTTTTTTAAAAATTCTCTTATTGTAGATATTACTTTCAGCAGTTGAGGTCATGAGTCAATTGAAGCTAGACCACCGTGGAAAACCTGGTGGAAGTATGTGCTCGCTAGTGACTGGCTTGAACATGTATATCCTGGAGTTCTAGTGAGAAGCAGTGACCAGTGGGATTAAACCGGGTCTGTTTTGCGATAGTAACTCACTGATGACAATGGTGGATGTGTCGATTAATTTTATGGATTAGTTGAAGTTAGACATTAACACCGTTGGATGCTGGCTGGTTCATTAGTGTAGTGGTTAAGCGCTCTCATGCGAGACTGATATGTCCTGGGTTGGCATCCCGCGAGGTGGGATCGTGGATGCACACTCCTGAGGGGTTCCACAATAGGACGAAACGGCCATTCAGTGCTTCCAGGTTTTCCATGGTGATCTAGCTTCAATTGACTCATGATCTCAAATACTGTAAATATTACTGTTGAAATGAATTTGATGGTAGTCTCTATGGTTTCATTGAATGAACAATCAAAAATTTTCATCATATTAATTTTATAAAATACGATGATATTGATAGTTTTATTGAGTAAATATATAATAAGGGAAATAAAAAAATCCATGTTGGGTAGAGAAAGTTATCCACATCAGACAATTAATAGATGGTTGCGCAAGATCTTGAATCGATTGAAGTTAAACAATAACACTATCAGATGCCGGTCCAATGATCTACAGGTTAAACGTTCATGCGTAAGACCAAAATTCCTTGGTTTGAGAGTCTCATGTGGAATCGTGAATGCGCACTACTGAGGAGTCCTATACTGGGACGAAACTTTCATCTAGTACTTCCAGGTGGTCTAGATTAGGTTGACTCATGAGATCAACTATTAAAACAAAAAGAAATATCACTGTAATTTCAAAAAATATTTCCACTAAAATATCTCATTAATATTTTATTTCAAGATAGTATTCTTGAATTCATGGTGAAGAGTTATGACTGATAAAATGTTAAACATGTTGAGAATGGAACAGTTATCATCACGCTATATCTTAAATCGATTGAAGTTGAGGTTGTACGATTGGACGTCATAAATTGTTAAAAGTCTTGCTTTTAAAACTATCGGTGTTGTGTTCAATGTTTGTCACAATTGTAAGTATTCACTGATAAGAGGGATCTCATGCTAGGTTGCAACAGTTGTTCATTGCCATCTGGTTTTCAACGGTATACCAACTGAGATCAGTTTGAGACAAATATAACTTATTATAATACAGTATAACGTCTTAGAGATTAACTAAATAATGAACCGTAAGGGGAAAGTTCTAAAATATGTAAATAAAGTTTCACTTTTTTCATCGATCATATCGAATACGTAACTAACATCATTGTTATTTTGTCTTTTAGAAGCAGTGAACTGATAATTTATATATTTACACAGGTTGAAATCATGAGTCGATTGGAGCTAGACCACCATGCAAAACCTGGAAGCACTGGACGGCCGTTTCGTCCTAGTATGGGACTCCTCAGCAATGCGCATCCATTTACTTTATGCCTTATCGTCACATGATAGGGGTGACCGATTTATTGTTTAATCCCAAATTACAGAGTGCTTTGTTAAAATGTAGAAATCATACACTAACTACATCATTTCCACATCTATTTTGAATAGTTTTTTGAAAGCTTCATTGTTCCTTCATTCTCTTAGTATTTTGAATGCTTTCAGTTTCCTTTTCTCTTCTTTTTACTGCAATCTTCTCAAACTTCTGCACGCAAGCATTCCATTTCCGATTATTGCTACGTGCTACATATATCTGTCAACATAAGTAACATACACTACAATACAATAGGTTGGAAGGAATTTCACATATCTCACTATTAATCAGTTTCAACCAAAGTCATCAAAGCAAAATACATATAGAATAAATAAAAGCTTCGTGATTTTTATATGAAACAAGTACTAATACAAAGTTATCTAAAGTAATGAAGAAAACTTCATAAATAAACTATTCAATTTAAAGTCAGTCAGCTGCAACGTAGGATCATGCACTTGTATGCATCAGTCCAAGTTGCCATACGTCATTAGCACAACAAGATCACCAAATTCATTGAAGTAGTTAATTCATTGGTGGTAATATATAAAAGAAAGATTGCAATAAGGATATAGTACAGGAAGAAAGAATTAGTTGGTAGAAAGAAAGCTATAAAGCAATTTCACTCTCATAGTTTAAGGGGAGACAGAGAGTGTACACACCGATGCCATTGTTATCGATTCTGAGACATGTCACCCAGAGTCTCCAACCATTGGTTACGATAGTCACGTGGACCCAAACCAAGTTGTCTGCATCTACCAGCATGGTTCAGACTAGAGGTTAGTGTCTTCAAGCACTGATGCCACGTTTTGGTTTGGCCACCCCTAAATTTCTTCCAACCATCCCCAACACTAGTCGGCATTGCACGTAATGGTAATCGGTGTTCAGGCATCCGTAATACATGGCCAAACCATCTCAGTCGATGCAGATTCATAACCTCGTCAACTGATTTACCATCATACTATCATTTTTAAATTCAATTTAAAAATAAGTAATACATCAGATAAAGTAAAATCCTTGAAAATAATAAAATTACTATTTTGGTATAATAAAAAATTCTCAGCACAAAGTATCTCAACAAGTTTCCCATTTCTTATTTCTTGATCGATCCTGACGATAAATATTGAGTGATCATCAGTTAGATGTTGGGAGATCAGAAATCGACATCTGAATCATGTTCATTCAATTCAATGCATATTGTCAGCCATCACGATGTCTCTGATTGTAGTTTTTTGTAACTTGTACAGAGAATGGTCGTATACTTTTCATTAATTAACTTTTCTGAATAGATTATGCCACTACCAGGCATAATGATTTGTTAAAACAAGCAGAAAACAACAACAGATTACTTGTTGAAATATCTAATTGGCAGAAACAGGTAGCCAAGATATTCATATTTTGATAATTCCAATCTTTCAATTTTTTTGTATGATCATTAGTACTATGTTATTTTCGTTTCTTTTATTATTATTATTATTATTATTATTATTATTATTATTATTCACTTCTTTATTTATTTAAATATATAAAAGTTGGTACAAGGAGGCACCAAATATAAATGCGCCACACAAATCGAATGATTTGTGTGAGGGATAGAGTACTGTCCTGGTGCCCAAACCGAAGCAGGTGATTTTCTTAAGGAGCCATTCCCCGAGCCTTTGACCTAAAAATCTAATCCACAAGGCACTGGACCAACGTTAGGTGATGCATTCCCATGGTAGTTGGCGATCAACAATTAGTTCATACACCATTTGTTCCCAAAGGGTTGTAGAGCCCATGTTCATCACTGATTTTAAATGGGGGTTTTTCAACTCCTCTAGGTGAACCGTCCATGTCCGCCAACCCTGTTAAAGTGTCGTACATCTGCCTTTCACCCTAGATTCCGTAAACAAGACCCACAGTGCTAGAAGTCAGTGAGTAGGTCTTCCCTTGTAGTGGATGTATACGCGTGGCCACTTGCGAACATTTCGAACGGGCGAGCTGACTCTCTTGTGCCCCGACCGTACTAGTTACGATGACTAACTGATCGATTGTGATTTATAAATTTACTTATAAACAATTATATATAATCATTATTTCTTTGCTTTCTGTATATACATGTGTACATTCATATAAAGGCGAAAATTTTTAGTTTAAATAGATGCCTTTATTGTGTGAATCTTAGTGTTGTAAGTAATTGGTAGTATCAGGGCAGTTCGTTCAGGTATGCACAAATACTCAAAGGGACTGGTCATTTGTAGTCATTCCGAATAGAAATCCCGTATTACTAGCATTTGTGCTTGTTGGTATAGATAAACAGGGCTTAATTGTTATGTTAAGGGAACAGAGGATCTCCCAATCGGATTCTAGCATACTAATGCTTGGTGCTGGAATCAAAAACGTTAAGAATAAAGTAGTTGAGCCATTACTGATTTTTTAGGTTTGCGATTTTCACAACAAATGATCCATGATTGGTTACTAACGTCATGTAGTCTTTTTCATAGTGTAGATTGACCTATGAAATAACGGAATTCTGTATATTGCATAACATGACTAGTGCTTTACATTAAAGCAGGTTGATTAATTATCATTGAATTATACACTGATTATTGGTGATGTTGGGTCCCATAATTGCTCAGAATCAGTTTCGGTAGCGTATATATATATATATATATATATATATATATATATATATATATATATATATATATATATATATATATACTTATTCTGATCCTATTCGATGCTCACTTCCATTGTTTTTCCATACTTTACCTTATTTTCCAATGTCCAATCTTTCTCATTGTCATGAATATTACGACTTCAACCTCAACTCACTCGTTACACATATTTTCAATTTTATAAAACAACATGCTGTTAACAGTTTAAATCAAAAATATTTTGCGCCGTCGCAAAATAACAGTTTTTCAGTCACTTAAATTATCATCAGTTTTAATCAATCATACATATAAAAAACTACTCATACCTAAATTACATACCCCTCAGTCTTTTGAAATAGGCATGGAAACTGATCGCTATTTCGGTGAACTAACTGTTATTGATAATAACTTTTTTTCGTTCACTTATGATTCGTTTATTTGAATGCCGACTCAGTGGTCTAGAGTTTGCTCACGAGACCGAAGGTCCTGGATTCAAGACTTGTGTGCGGGATCGTGGATGCACACTGCAGAGGAGTCTCATACTAGGACGAAACGTTCGTCCAGTACTTCCAGGTTTCCAATGATGGTCTAGGTCCAATCGACTCATGAATTCAACTGTTAGAATACTTTATTTGACTTGTCAATTAAGAACATAACAGTTCAAGGAATTCATTGAATATGTTGAATGTATTGGTCTGTGTCTGTTAGACAGTTAACAATGAATTTGATCTACAAACTTAATCATTTATAAAAGTTAACATTTTCTCTATTGTTAGTGCTTAAAACTATAATTGATCCTACTATTTGAGTTATATGTAGTACCCTGCATGAATAACTTGAAGGGTTTTTTTCTTTAATCATCAACAACAGAAGAAGAAAAATACAAATTGTAAAAGAAAGAAAATTGAATTTCATATTTGTTTCATAAGCTAATGACCGTTTGAACTAAATAATTTGTTGGATAGCACCATGTACGTTTGAATTGTAAAGTATTGGGATTGATTTTCAATTGAAACATTAATACTTGGATACAGTTACCTTCAGTTAAAGAGTCCTATATAGTACAAATTATGTATTCTGTATTATTCACTTTTAGTTATGAATCTACTTTAACCGGTTGTCTTTTTACTGATTGAAAATTCATTTTTACATAAATTTCTTCGTATAATTAAATCTTTTATTGATTATTTTAGATTGAAGCACCATTTACACCAAAATGTTCTGGTGCTGGAGATGCAAGTAATTTTGATGATTATGAAGAAGAACCATTACGTATTGCTACAACAGAGAAGTGTGCAAAAGAATTTGGTGAATTTTAAATATCAATGACGAAAATATTAATAATAATAAATGATTAATTAAATTAACAATTGAACATTTGATACTGACTGTAAACAAACACAACCATTATCAGTTGTTACTATTACTACTACTACTACTACTAATAATAATAATAATAATGACAATGATAGTGACTGTATTATCATTATTGCTTTCCAAGTGCTTATTATTTCCAACTTCTTCTCACCAATGATTTTTATCGTCACCTAACTTCTTCTGATTTGTTTTTATCGTCCTGTTCTTTTTTTTGCATTGACTTTTATTTATCGCAGTGAATCTTGTTGTCTTTCTTCATCTTTCTCTTTGTGTTATGCATAAAGAGTTGCCTATCGTTGCCACTATTGTCCATCGATCTCTTTCTTCATTCATCTGTTATTATTATTATTATATGAGAAAAGTGTTTATTATTACAGTATACGAATTCACACGATATATATATATATATCCTTGAAAAGAAAAGAAAAAATTCTGATCTCAATGAAGAGTTATGTGTGTATGTATGTTTGTGTGCATAAGTTGTGGTTATTCATTTCCTTTTATTTTTCTTGTTTTAATTCATACTATGATTGTAAACTATAAAACTATTCTATAAAGTTCAATTCCTTCAATGAATGTGAAGATTTTTTTCAGCATAAACTTTGTAATTATTCACTTAGAACATAACAATACTACTAATAAACATTGAAAATAATAATTTTTAATGTACATTAAAAACTATATCGTCAATATTTTTTGTTTTGTTTCGGCATCTATTTAGAAAATTCACTTTCAATACTTCAATAATTTAAGTAAAGAAAATTTTGTAATCATTTATGCTTGTAATTGTTATATTTTTTTTCCAATGGCTACTATTATTACTAGCATATAATACTTGTACCATTATCAATACTAATATTAGAATATTTCTAATGATAACTGAATTACATTGATAATATCTCTTCATATTTTGTATGATGTGTTTTATGGTTTTTAAATAGGTTAAATCAAATGTTCCGTTTCTATTGATGAACTATTACTTATAATTGATTTTTCCCCCTTTTTTTTAAAGAAAAAAAATTTAAAAAACAAAGTCCACCATTATACTTCATGCTCACGTTTATATCTTGATTGTCTTAAAAGAAAAGAAAAAGAAAGAAAGACAAAAAAAAACAGAATATTGTCATTCCATTATTATTTAATGAGTTGAAACATTCTGGAAGCGTTTGATTTGTGAGCACAATAGAAATATTGTTCATGTTATTATCTATTCCTTTAACCATTCTGTTATGCATCATACTTTCTTTTTTCTCTCCCTCATTTATGTTACTCATTTATTTTAAACACTTTGAAAATGTGCATGTTTAAAAGGGATATTGTTAATTTCATGCGAAAAACAATATACATTCAAACTATACACGTAAAATATATATACAAGTTAATGATGAAATTATTCCCTTACTGATGACGATTTTTTTCCCTTCTTCTGAATAGTATCACAAAAAAATTATGTTTTTGTTATCTCAATCTATTTCATAATGTATGTTGTTTTGCTTAACATAAAGTAATCCTTTGTTTGTTTGTTTTTTCTTCTCTCTCATCAATTTATTTGCTTTCTTTTATTTCGTTCAATAAAACAACAACAGCAGAACAAGTTTTATTCCCCTTATATAAAATCAAATATTCTCACTCCGCTTTTTTATTTCGAATTATCCACTACAACATTTTATTTCAATTTGTAAATATACGTGTGCATGTGTGTTTGTGTGTGCGTGTGCGTGCGTGCGTGCACGTGTTTACTGTTACTTTTTGACAATTGAATAGTAAAAAAAAACAATAATAATTCAAGTTGTTTTCCTTATGATGTTTGTTCGATAGTGTGATTATTTTGTTCGTTTGTTCTTGTTGTTGTTGTTTTTTTCTCAACCAAAACAAAATATTTATATTAGGTCATTCATGAAAATTGATTATGGTTAAGTTTATCCATATTGTTATAATCATGTTGTTGTGTGATCTAATTTATCTAAATGATTGTCATTCTTTTTAATAGACTATTTATTGATGGATGAGTACTGTTAGTGTTCTTTGATTACATTCATATATATATATATATATATATATATATATATATATATATATATATATATATATATATACCCAGTAACACTTTTAATTGATTGTCACCCCTATTTGTTTTCTTTTTTTTGTTCTTTTTCATATTATCTATGTTGTTTATTTGTTTGTCTAATAATTATAATATAACTGTAATAATAGTAAATAAATCCTTATAGAGATAATAATAATAATAATGCCCTATTTTCAGTCGGAACATATTTTTGTTGTTATTCACATCTCTGCTTAATCATAGTTTTTTTTTCCAATTCACCTACTGATACTACTTACTACTTAGTTGTTTTTTTTTAAAAAAAAAACAACACAATTTGTGTATGTTTACATATGAATGAAGAAAAATAAAAGGGATATGCACATGTGTATGTACGCATACACTTACATACGTATATATGTATTTCTCATCATTGTTGGAAAATATATATAATAATATGAATAGGTTTGTTATATCTTTTCAATGAATTATTGAATAAATAAATAATTTATTCTGACTATTTTCTATTCTAACATATTTGGTGAATGAAATGAAACTAAAGTGTAAACAGTCCCTAATTGTCCCTGTTAGGACTGAGGGTGGGATGAGTCAGCTCTCCCACTTGAGATACACGTATACAGCCACTGCCAAAGAAGTCCTACTCACTATCTTCTTGTGGTGGGGGGTGTTATCTACGGAATTCAGAGTACCAAAAGCGAATGTCTGGCACTTTAACCGAGTTGGTGGATCCACCTAGCGGAGTTGAAAAATCCTGATTTCAAACCAATAGTGCACATGGGGTCCAGGATCCTAAAGGAACAAATAGTGTATGAACCTATTGTTGGTCACCGGCTACCATGGGACTGCATCTCCTAAGATTGTTCCACTGCCTTATGGTTTATACCTTTAGGTCAAAGGCTCGGGCTTGTAGCCCCCTAAGAAAACCACCTGTTTCGGTTTGGGCACCGAGACAGACACACAACTCACTTGATTTATGTGTCACATATGCATTTGGCACCCCTTTGTACCAATATTTATGTATTCAAATAAATTAATAAAGGTGTAAATAGTTTTGACAGAGATTACCCACCAAGATAATATTATGTAAAAATTGTATTTGAAATAATCTCATTGATTGAAATTTTCAAATAATTTCGACATTTAATCTGATAAACTAGTTCAAAATCATATAAAAAGTAGCTCGAATCAGTTTTTACATGAATTGTTGAAGTTATTTAAAGGTTCCAATCATTGAGATTATTTCAAATATAATTACTACCTAGATTGAGCCTAAGGTGATAAGATATCATTTGATTATTTTAAATTCGTAGCTATTATTCAGATTATTCACCACTAAATAAATGGATAATGGTTAAAGGTATAGAATACACATCGCATGTTGAACATTTAACACTGCAGATATTTCAGCTGTTAAAATATCATCATTTATGAAAAATAACTATAATTATCATAGCAGAGTTTCAAAGATTATGCAACTTGTTGGTCATCTAAACTAGAGTGAATTTATTCTGAATCTAGTTGAAGCTTATTAGGTTCACATTTATCAATTGGTTAGATAACCTGAGAAATGTTTCTTTATAAGTAGGCAAAAACATTTTTATTATCTTGTTTAAATAACTCATCCGTATATGTTATTTGTATTACGAAAACCATGAAAAACTGACTTTTGAGTAACTAGTAACCATTTATACAACAAATCTCACCAACTCCTAGATCCTTCAAGGCTATGATTATCATAAATGCGAAAACGTTAGTTTGGATAAATAATTATTCAGTATAGTACTGTGTTATCGAGATTGTTGGGTTTTAATTGAGATCATGAACCGATCGATGTTAGACCACCATTGGAAATCTGGAAGCAGTATGGGACTCCTCAGCAGTGCGCATCCACGGTCCCGTACTCGGGATTCCAACCCTAACTCTAGACCGCAGCCGGTATCCAACGGTGTTAATGCCTAATTTCAACCAATCCACGATATTGAGCAACCGTCCTTTATTTTGTTTACACAACAGACACCGGTTGAACTTCACTGGTCATGATTTCTCACTAGAACCCCCACCAAATCCATCTTGAAGTTAGTTACCAGTGAGTAGATATTTCAAACATTTGTTACATTGAAGTTAACCAATAACTCAGAGAAATGTTTAATGCAATATCTCTAAGACATCTAGATATCCAAATGTTACTGTTTATTTATTTTTTCAAAATGAACAGTGTAATGAAGTAAAGTTGTGGAGTTTTTTTTTTCATTCTGTAATAACATTAGTTTTACCTTCTTCACGTAACTTTTGTATTATGTACGAGATGATGGTGTATAATCTAATACTCAAGAAATCACTTATAACGAGTATGTTATAACGAACTGACACTTTTTTTTAAACCAGTGACATAATCTCTTAACTTTTATTATTATTTACGTTTTGAATTTTGACTACTTAAGTATACTTATGACATACCGTATTCAATATTATCTTTCATTGTATGAATTATAATTGGTTTATCTTAATAGATAAGTAAATATTGCTATTGTGCATTATCTATCTAACGACATAATTATAATTTTAACTTTCTCAAATCCAAACATAAGTCAGTATCAAATCAATCTGTTATCATCAATGTAACGCATGACATGAATTCGTATTTGATCCAAGTGACAATACATTTTATGAGGATAATGAGAAAGGAAACTGATTTGATAAACAGATATGAAGGTTCAATATAAACTGTGATAATAGTTATCAGCTAGCATAATATGTCGACATAAGTTAAGATTAGATATGCTCAACACATTTTAATCAGTTCAATGAATAAATTGGTATAGACTTGTCGATTGACTTGTTACTTTTTTCTCTATTATGTACTGCT